ATACACTGTATATGCATATTGAAATATCACACTGTGGTAATAACTACTTACCTACCAAGGGTTAAAGAGAACGCCACAGAAAATACAAATAGCAGACACTGCCTCTAGGACTCAGGCAGAGGTCTCTAAGGAAAGAAGGAATTAGCAGTGTTGCACCAAGGATGAGAGAAATTGTCTCCATACTTATGTAGAGATGGTGTGATGGATGCTGACTGGAGACAGAGGCTTACTGTGTGGTGTAATGAAAAGCAAAAAACTGGATGCTGCAGTAACTCCTAGGAAATCATGTGTGAGTTGCTTTAAATACTCACTGGGAGATAACAGGGAGCTGCTGGACTGCACTGTAGTCAGTGGCACCAGTGAAACTCAGTAGGAAGTGAGCCAAGCTAGGAGTTCTGTGTGCCAGAGCAGAGAGTGGAGAAAAGCCTGTGAGAAACAAGAGAAGGACTTTCGTCTGTTGTGCATTAGTATTCCTAAAGAAATCTTCTATTTACAAAGCTTAATGTTGCTGTCTGCTGGAAAAGAAATATTACAGTCCAAATCCTGTTTCAGAAAGCATGACAAAGAACAATGTATTATGATATCAGATGAAAAAAACTATAACATTGAATATCTTATTTCATTGCTTGGACATACTAGAGTTTGATTATGGATTTCCTTAATGATGTTGCAGTTTACAGGTGTTATAAATAAAACTCTTATAAACATTCATATGTAAGTCTGTCAGGATCTCTCCCTCTGGGAACTGGCCAGGTTGCTGCAAAGGAAGAGTGGAGGAGACTGAGGAAGGTCAAGCTAAACACACTTTATTGATACTCTAGGCAACTAGGAGGAGAGATCACTCAAGCCTACTCCTGCAGGCACTAGGCACTACGGACCAGGAGCTTCTCCCCACGGGCACTAGGCACTATGGACAGGGGAGAGAGGCTAAGCAACCTCTGGTTTACAATGTCTGAGGGCCCCTTATATACAGTTTCTAGAGGCTAGCCCCGCCCACATTCCCGACCTCCCTGGGACCCATAGTCATGGCAACGGCAGTTTGTAGTTAGGCTGTCTAGTTAGACCATCCCTTTTCAAATCTTACCAGCTAGAGCAACTACTTTTCTACTTTTCTTTCAAGCTGTGCTACTGCGCAGTTACTTTCTTTCAAACAGTACTACAGTTACTTTGTTTCAAATGGCACTACAATTACTTTCTCCAAGAATGTTTCTCTAACAAAGTCTTTTAATGTGCAGACTTATTTTCACTTCTCTAGAGTCAATATTCAGGAGTGAAATTGTTAGGTCATTTAATATATGTTTAGCTCTTTAAGAGAATGATAAATCGTCTTCACAAATACTCTTGCCATTTTCACTGCCTACAGGAATATGATACAGGTCTATCATACACAATGAAATGTGTGTATGAACTATAGGGTATCATATCTGACATCAGGCCTTCTAAGGCCAAATCCATTACTAAACTACAACAACAACACCTTAAATGTATCTTACTTATAAAGTCTGCAAGCAAAAAATTTTAAATTTATACTAAATTGATCTTCTGTATATAAAGATAATTGAAAATGAATCTTGATGAAGAATGGGATGGAGAGGGAGTGTGAGATGGGTGGTTGCGGGTGGGATGGTGATTATGGGGGGGAAAAAGCTGCTATAATCCAAAAATTATACTTTGGAAATTTATATTTATTACATAAAAGTTAAAAAAGATGAAGGATTGGTAGTTAGCCTTAAAAAGAAAAAAAGAAATGATGCATAAGTGTGGAAAAGCCTAATAGCTGCAAAACCCGTTAATGCTATTAAAGCTTTATGAAGGCTGGCGCTGCAGCTCACTAGGCTAATTCTCCGCCTGTGGCGCTGGCACACTGGGTTCTAGTCCAGGTCGGGGCGCTGGTTCTGTCCCAGTTGCTCCTCTTCCAGTCCAGCTCTCTGCTGTGGCCCGGGAAGGTAGTGGAGGATGGCCCAAGTCCTTAGGCCCTGCACCTGCATGGGAGACCAGGAGAAGCACCTGGATCCTGGCTTCGGATCAACACAGTGTGCCGGCCACAGCGTACTGGCCGCAATGGCCATTTGGGGGATGAACCAATGGGAAAAGGAAGACCTCTCTCTCTCTCACTGTCCACTCTGTCTGTAAAACAAACAAACAAACAAACAAAAAACTTTATGAAGAAGAAAATCCTGTCACTCCTGGTTCATTGTGGATGAACCCAGAGGACATTATGTTAAGTGACAGAAGGCAGACACAGAAATATTAACATTGTATGATAACACTTGTTATGTGTTTTTTTTATTTGGAATCTAAAGACAATGAACTCCTAGAAGCAGAGAGTAGAATGGTAGTTACCAAAAGCTGCAGGTTAGGGTTTGGGGTGATGTTGATTCAAACACTAAATTTAGCTAAACAAAGAGAATGAGTGTAACAGACCCCATTATACAACATGGTGGTTACAATTTATAATAATGTGTTATATTCTTGAAAATTGCTAAGAGGGTAGATTTTACTTGTTCTGTGAGAGTCGACCACCCGAAAAACGTCACCAAGAGACACGTCTCTTATGCAAACAGCACGGGGAAGTTTTATTGATTATCCAGCATGCTGGGGCTGTCTGATCATACATGAACAGAGCAGCCCCGAATAACCAAAGGTTAGGGTTTATAAAGGCAAAAACCGCAAAACCGGGAAGGGGGGGAATACATGGTTGCTATGCACAATTGTTAAGACCAAGGGAGAATCAAAAGAGTACATGGTTACTGGGGTCAACATAACTCAAAACCTAAGTGAAATTAATATTTATCATAATCTTGACAATACTAGTTACAATCATACAATTAGCAATTAGGACTTGACATTAAGGTAAGACACAGACAAATCACATCTTCATTATGAACCCAGGTAACCCAGGGGCAACTTTTTGTGCTTGTAAGCTTGAGCAATCATGCTAGGGGGTTTTTGTGCTCTGCCAAGGGTGATATAGTGTACTGCTATTGTTTGACTATTTGAAACCATAGTTTCAGTTCAGAGTCTCACGGTGAGGGGGGGTGTTGGAGTCTCAAGGACTCTAAAATGGAGTCCCTACTGTCAAGGGGCTACTTCATTCCCCCCTTTTCTTTTAGCTGGGCCTCTAATCCTAGAGGCCATTAGCATCTTCCTCACCAAAGTTAATATATTGTTGACGAATGACCATAAGTTTTACATTGCTAATTTGTTTTTGGAGGAAGGTGACAAGCCTATTTAACATGCAAGGGCCTATGGTAACGATCAGGAGCAGAACTACTAGGGGGCCAGTGATGGCTGACAGTAAGGTAGTTAACCACGGTGACTTGGTAAACCATGACTCAAACCATCCCTGTTGTTGAATTTTATCCCATTGTCGTTCCTTGAGACGTTTACGAAGCTGAGCCATATTATCTCTTGCTACCCCGGTTTTGTCTACATAGAAACAGCATTCTTCCTTGAGGGCTGCACATAGGCCTCCTTCCTTCATAAAAATTAGGTCCAGCCCTCTTCTATTTTGTAACACCACTTCGGATAGGGAGGTTAGGGACTGTTCTAATGCCGTGACTGAGTTTTCTATGTTTTTGATATCTTGGGCTATGGCTGCCTTTAGCTGAGATAAATGTTGTTCTCCCGTCACCAGGGCTGCTGCTCCGGTTCCGATACCTGCAGCTGTTCCAAGGCCTAGGAGGACTGCCAAGGTTAGGGATACAGGCTCTCGCCTAACTCTAAGTACTTTGTTCTCCATGGCATCCTCAAAAGAGCTGGCATCATGGTACAATATTCTCGGTAACAGCTGGACCATGATGCAGTAGTCTTTGTTCTGATTAAATATAGAAATTGAGATGCAGGGAGTAATTCCAGTATTACATGCCCACCAGGCACCGTCCTGCGGTGCCCAATACCCAGAAAGGGAGGTATTAAGAACAACAGTGTTATTACAGAGTGTCCTTGCAACTGCTGGTGGGGCTCTCCCAATGCATAACCCCTGCCCCGAGACCGCTGGGAGAGTAAGTTTATGTCCCCCTGCCCAATCGCAAGAGGTGGAATTCATGGGTCTGGGTGACCCATTAATAGCGGTTCCCTCATAATAAGGGGGCGCTGCCGATAGGCACAGCCAACAGGGCTTAATCCCTCCTTGGGTGTAATTAAGAGCAGTATAGGCTCCTTTGATGAGATTAAAGAGGGGGTGTGTCTCTAGTAGGATACTGGAGTTGATGGAAACTGCTGGCAGAGTAACCTTAGGACTTGGGGCCTCAGTGAGGGCAGGCTTAAATGGTGGTTTAGGTTTGACCTCGGGGATGGGGTTTGGCCTTACCGCTGGATTTGGGCCTACTGCTACGGGGGCTACTGTCTTTTTTAACCTTATAGTAAACCATAAACCAAAATCGGTCCCTGAAACATAATACCGCAGGCCCCAAGCTCTGCCTTTTATCCATTCAGCCAATGTGGATAATTCTTTCCCCTTGTTAGTAAAAGTGATGTTAAGAGGGTTGCAGAGAGGGGTCGAATGGCACCATCCAGGGACCTTTGGGTTAAATAGACACATTGTATAACCCTCTGGGATGTAATCGCGGTGAACAGAAATCCAATCCCACTGGGAGGAAGGCTTCCAGTGGACCGACCCCGTGGTTTCACATCCCCATGCTTTGCAATACAATGATTCTAGCCCCCCACATTGTCTTTCCTGTTGCCTGGTTCTTCCATCTTTAGGACAGACATAATAGTCTAGCTGCCTTAACAAGCATCTTTTTTCTGGCGACCCGCAACCCGGCAACCCCGACCCCCTGTGAGTGTGAGCATTGTCAGGGTCATGTGGGCGAGTAAGGGGGACCTCATCGAGGTCCCCCAGGTCCCAATCATCTAATCCTACCACTAGTTGGCATACATCAGGATATAACGGGGGCCACCAAGTTCCCGGCGTATGGGTCCCCTGAACAGACCAAGCTATGCGTCCTATGGGGGAGATTACTTCCCACGTCAATAACTGAGGCTCATGTGGATTACTACAAGCTAGGGGTAGGACCCCCATTCCCACCACCCACACGACGAATCCGAAGTTTAAATGGGTTGTCAGTCTTTTCGAGCCTCCATTCGGGCCCTGGCGCAGGTGCAGGTTTGAGATGGGACGCATGGATCCAGTTAGTGATGCCGTCTACCTTTACAGCTGTCGGTGTTGTAAGCAGTATCACATAGGGACCTTTCCAACGCGGTTCCAGACTGTCAGCGCGATGTCTTTTCACGTAGACAGAGTCTCCAACCTGGTACTGGTGTGGCATCGACACTTCCTCCTGCCGATAGTTGGTGGAGAGCTGTCGCCAGACGAATTTCTGGATGTCTTCCAAGGCCTTTAATCTAACAATTAGGGGGGTAGAAGGTAGAGATTGGGTGTCTATTGCAGACGCAAAGCTTCTAACAGGAGGTGGGGCACCATACAATATTTCAAAGGGAGTAAGATTAAACATAGTAGAGGAAGGAGTGTTTCTAGCCCTAAACAAAGCATAAGGTAGGAGCATAGTCCAATCCTTTAAACCAGTCTCCATAGCCATTTTAGTTAAGGTTTCTTTAATTGTTCTATTCATTCTTTCTACTTGTCCTGAGCTTTGGGGCCTGTATGCACAATGTAACTTCCATGTTATTCCCAAAATCTTAGCTAACCCCTGACTTACCTGGGCCACGAACGCCGGTCCGTTATCGGACCCGATTACCTGAGGCAGTCCAAATCGTGGAAAAATGTCTTCCAGGATCTTTTTAGCTACCACCAGTGCAGTCTCTCTGCGGGTAGGGAAGGCTTCTACCCATCCCGAAAAGGTATCAACAAAGACTAGCAAATAACGGTAACCACATCTGGCCGGTTTAATTTCGGTAAAGTCCACCTCCCAAAATTGTCCTGGTCTATCACCCCTTAGTCTCTTCCCATCCGGCAGTCGAGTTGGATGAGCATTAACAGCTTGGCAAGCTTTACAATTTTTAGCAACTTGTTCTGCTAGACGCTTATTGTCAGATGGAGATAGAGAGAAAGGCTGATCTCTTAGTAGGCTTTGTAGTTTTTGTGCTCCTAGGTGAGTGAACTGATGGACTTGCTGTAGATAGGAAACAGCCTGCAGTTCTGGCGTTTTCTCCCCTTGTTTTGGTGTAAGGTGGTCTCCCTCTTCTATTATGAGAACACTGGCCTCGGGATCCCGCAGAGCGGCTGCTCTTGCCTCCTCATCCGCCCTCCGATTACCCACGATTACTGGATCAGTCCCCTTTTGATGGCTCGGGCAATGTACTATTGCCAGCTTGGAGGGCAGTAAGACGGCTGCCAAGAGGCGGAGGATCTCTGCTTTATGTTTTATCTCCTTTCCCGCCGAGGTTAACAGCCCCCTTTGTTGGTAGATAGCCCCATGTACATGGGCCGTGGCAAAGGCATAGCGGCTATCAGTGTAGATATTTGCTCTCTTTCCTTTTGCCAACTCCAGTGCTCTTGTCAGTGCAATCAGCTCGGCTTTCTGGGCCGAGGTTCCCTCCGGCAGACTGGCTGTCCAAATAGTGTCCGTGGCACTGACTACTGCTGCCCCAGCCCGTCGCTTACCGTTCAGCAGGAAGCTGCTCCCGTCCGTAAACCACGTTACCTCCGGGTTGGGTAGTGGCTGATCCGTCAGGTCCCGGCGGATTCCGGCTTCCTCGGCCAGGATGTCTTGGCAGGTATGAAGGACTGGATCGGCGGTTTCATCCGGGAGCAAGGTGGCAGGATTTAAAACAGTCGGGGGGCCAAAAGTAACCCTATCTTTATCCAATAGAATGCTCTGATAGTGGGTGATACGAGCATTCGAGAGCCATCTATCAGGCGGTTGTCTTATAATACTCTCTAATGAGTGCGGAGCTATGATGGTCAGTTTTTGTCCCAAAGTCAGTTTGTCCGCATCTTTAGTTAGCAGGGCTGCTGCTGCAATGGCTCTCAGGCATCGGGGCCATCCACTGGCTACAGAGTCCAGGCGTTTAGATAGATAGGCCACGGGTCGTTTCCACGGCCCCAAGGTCTGGGTAAGGACTCCCCTAGCCACCCCTTTGCGTTCCTCAATATACAGAGTGAACGGTTTCTCAACGTTCGGTAAGGCTAGAGCGGGTGCCGAGAGCAAGGCCTGCTTGATATCATCAAAAGCTTGTTGTTGTTCCTGTCCCCACACAAAGTCCTCATTCCCTTTAAGCAAGGGGTAAAGTGGGGAGGCCATTGAAGCAAACCCCGGTATCCAGAGCCTGCAGAAACCGGCCGTCCCCAAAAACTCTCGGAGCTGTTTTCGAGTCGTAGGGACAGGAATTTGAGTTACAGTCTTTTTGCGCGCCTCTGTTAACCAGCGCTTCCCGTCTTTAAGGGTGTACCCCAAAAAAGTAACTTCCCTCTGGCACAATTGAGCCTTCTTTGCAGAGGCCCGATACCCCAGTCGAGCCAATTCCTGCAACAGAGATCGGGTGCCGTACTCACACTGTTCTTGTGTTGCGGTGGCCAACAGCAGGTCATCCACATACTGTAGCAACGTCACCTCAGGATGATCTATTCGAAAGTGGCTTAGGTCCTGGTGGAGGGCCTCATCGAAGATGGTGGGTGAATTTTTGAAGCCTTGTGGCAACCGAGTCCAAGTCAGCTGCCCCGATATCCCCTCTTCGGGGTCTGACCACTCAAAGGCAAACAGCAGTTGACTATCTGTATGTAGTTGCAAGCAAAAGAAAGCATCCTTTAAATCCAACACAGAGTACCAGGTGCGCTCAGGGCTGAGGGTGCTCAGCAAGTTGTAGGGGTTAGGCACAGTTGGGTGGATGTCCTGGACCCTGCTGTTAACCTCTCTTAAGTCCTGTACTGGGCGGTAATCTCGCGTCCCTGGCTTCTGGACCGGCAGTAGTGGCGTATTCCAAGCCGAATGACAAGGCTTTAGAACTCCTAGAGCCAAAAGTCTTTTGATATGTGGGCGAATTCCTTCTTGAGCTTTTTTACTCATGGGGTATTGCCTAACCCGAACAGGAACTGCACTGGCTTTTAAAGTGACAACCACTGGAGGCTGGCACACAGCCAACCCCAATCCTGCTGTTTCGGCCCAAGAATGGGGATAAGCAGTGAGCCAGAGCTGAATTTTTGATTCCTGTGTCCCTCCTGATTTTTCATGGAGACGATACTCATCCTCTACTGACATGGTGAGCACAGTAGTCATTGGTGTTTTTACTAAAGAATTTAAGAATTCTACCCGAGGGCCAGCCGGCTCAAAGGTTATTCTAGCCTTTAATTTGGTAAGCAAGTCTCTTCCCATCAGAGGAGCCGGGCAGTTAGGAATCACCAAGAATGAGTGCTGAACTTTTCCTTTTCCCAGATCCATAGTTCGTTTCGTGGTCCATGCCCGATACTGACTACCATTAGCTCCCTGTACTAATGACCTTTTGTTAGATAATGGACCCAAAGGTTTCTGCAGAACGGAATAGGTGGCTCCGGTATCTATTTCAAAATTGATGGGAGTCCCCTCCACGTTAAAGTTTACCCTGAGCTCGGGGAGGGGGTCCGAGCCCCGTCGCCCCTAGTCATCTTCTTCCAAGGCTAGGACCGCTGGCGCAGACGGCGCCTTGAGCTGAGCAGCCTTTTTCTTAGGACAGTCCCTCATCCAGTGTCCCTTATCCTTACAATAGGCACACTGGTCGGAGTCCAAAGGTGGGCGGCGTCGTTGGCCTGGTCTACCAGCCCTTTTGCTTCCCCCACTGTCCACTACAGTGGCTAAAATTCTGGCTAGGTCTCGATTCCGCCTCTTGTCTCGTGCTCTTTCCCTTTCTTCTTTTTCGGTCTCCCTTTTTCTATCTTGTTCCTCCCTTTCTCTCTCTCTTCGCTGCTCTTTTTCTTCCTCCGTTTCCCTTTTGTAAAACACCTTATCAGCTTCCTTGACTAAATCTCGCAAGGTGAGATCCTGCAGCCCCTCCAATCGTTGCAATTTGTGGCGAATATCCGGGGCCGACTGGCCGATGAAGGCCATGGACATTGAACCTCGCTGCCCTTCTGACTGAGGGTCGAAGGGTGTGTACCTGCGATAGGCTTCCATTAGTCTTTCTAAAAACATAGAAGGTGTTTCAGTAGGTCCCTGGATTACCTCTCTTACCTTGGCCAAATTGGTGGGCTTTCGGGCAGCAGCCCGAAGCCTGGCCACTAGAGACTGGCGATAGATGGACAGATGCTCCCTACCTTCTCGCGTGTTGGGGTCCCAATCAGGTCGGCGCAAGGGAAATGAGTCATCGATAATATTTTGCAGCTGCGTAGGTCTCCCATCCTGCCCAGGAACATTCTTCCTGGCTTCTAAGAGTATCCTGTCCCGTTCCTCAGTGGTGAAGAGGGTGTTCAACAACTGCTGACAATCATCCCAGGTTGGCTGATGGGAGAACATCAGTGACTCGACCAAACCTGTCAAACGAGTTGGATCCTCTGAAAAGGGAGGGTTATTATTTTTCCAGTTATAAAGATCAGACGAGGAGAATGGCCAATATTGTAAAATCTGCATCCCTCCCCCTTCTCCGTCTAGTAGAGAGCCCACAGGTCTTAATGGCAATGTGACAGCCACGTCTTCGAGATTGTGAGCCCTCCTACTCCGAGTTCCCTTGGCAGGTCCCTCCGGGGAAGGAGGGGGCACCGCCAAGGGACTAGGTGACGTGGATGTCGCACTGGACGGCGTTTCCGGTTCTGGTGGGCTGGCCGGAGCGGATGGGGGTAGCGAAGGGGAAGGAGCAGGAATCGGCAGGTAAAGAGGAGCATGAGGGTACGGGGGTAAAGCGTCAAAGTTCAAAAGATCAGTCTGAGACTCAGGGAGAACTGGGGACCGGGGGAATGGGGATTTTGTCAACCGCAAGGTCTTCGTTGAGATATTTTCTGTTGCAAGAGACTCATTAGGGGCTTGAAAAGACTTTACCCAGTCAGGCGGATTTTCGCACAGCTCTTGCCATACCAGTATATATGGCTGCTGGTCAGGATGTCCATACTTTCCAGGTTGGAAGACTGCCTCTTTCACTCGTTGAATGAGTGGTAAGTGGAAAGAGCCCTCGGGGGGCCAATCCACTCCGAGGGCCGGCCACTCAGAGGCACAGAAGGTCTGCCACTTAGCCTTCTTAATCAAAAGAGAGAGATTAGATCCCCTAGCCCGGACATCAGGCCAGTGAGCCAGAGTAAGAGATAGCGGCGTGGACACAGTTTGACCCATGTTACAGACAGAAAAGCAATTCTCCAAAGAAAAAAACTGAAACCTAAAATGTAACCGCTGTTGGCACAAAACTCCCGCCTAGGGGAATTTCTGATGGGAGTTTCGCTGAGCGTCCTCAGTCTCCCGGTCCTCTCGGGGCGTCCCCCAAGGTGGTAGCCTGGGGCTTCCAGGCACGTCTGCCAGCCACAGTGCGTACCGTGCCAACCCAAAACTGAAACCGAAACAGGCCTGTAACCCGAAGAACTGAAACCTGAAGCGCGCATATACTGAGTCCCTACCTTAGGCGCCTTTTTACTTACCCCAAGAGACGTCCGTTGGAGGCGTCCACGGGCAGCCGCGATCTCGCTGGGGCCTCCAAATGTGAGAGTCGACCACCCGAAAAACGTCACCAAGAGACACGTCTCTTATGCAAACAGCACGGGGAAGTTTTATTGATTATCCAGCATGCTGGGGCTGTCTGATCATACATGAACAGAGCAGCCCCGAATAACCAAAGGTTAGGGTTTATAAAGGCAAAAACCGCAAAACCGGGAAGGGGGGGAATACATGGTTGCTATGCACAATTGTTAAGACCAAGGGAGAATCAAAAGAGTACATGGTTACTGGGGTCAACATAACTCAAAACCTAAGTGAAATTAATATTTATCATAATCTTGACAATACTAGTTACAATCATACAATTAGCAATTAGGACTTGACATTAAGGTAAGACACAGACAAATCACATCTTCATTATGAACCCAGGTAACCCAGGGGCAACTTTTTGTGCTTGTAAGCTTGAGCAATCATGCTAGGGGGTTTTTGTGCTCTGCCAAGGGTGATATAGTGTACTGCTATTGTTTGACTATTTGAAACCATAGTTTCAGTTCAGAGTCTCACGGTGAGGGGGGGTGTTGGAGTCTCAAGGACTCTAAAATGGAGTCCCTACTGTCAAGGGGCTACTTCAGTTCTTAACACAAAAAAGTGATTAAGTATGTGAGGTTATGAGTATGTTGATTAGCCTGTTTTAACCACTCCACAATGTATACAGAAGTATACAAATATATATCAATATATTATGTGCTACAACATTAATATATAATTTTTGTCAATCAAGAAATTTCAATTTAAATATGGATGCTAATGTAAGAAAGATATGGTGAAATCTGTAAAACAATGCAGATTAAAAGGAAAAAATTAATTTTACTTAATATTCTTTTGTTTTTATATAGGGCATACCAAGTGATATGTTTACAGATAAAGCAAGATAGAACATGAGAAATAGAAATTTTAACACAGTAGGTTAAGTACCTATGTCCCAGAAAGAACAAAGAAGAACACATGTAAATCTAATGCTGAATAGTGCACGAAATAGCACATGGCAGGAAAGGCAGGAAAAGATCTTAGTTTTATTTATGAAATGCATGAAGTTTGTAAGCCTTAAATAAAAGGTCTCTGGTTAAAAAAATTAATAAACAAATAAAATAAATGTTAAAAATAAAACAAAGTGAAAATAGCACCACAAAATATGAGATTAAAATACTTACCTGCACTGGAGTTTCGAATTGACTAATTAATATGCATTAAGCATGGATTCAATGGCCAGCACTGTGGTGCAGTGGGTTAAAACTGAGGCCTGCAGTGCCTGCATCCCATATGGGCACTAGTTCGAGTCCTGGCTGCTCCACTTACAATCTTTCTCTATGCTATGGCCAGGGAATGCAGTAGAAGCTGGCCCAACTCCTTGGGCTCCTGCACCCTTGTGGGAGACCTGGCAGAAGCTCCTGGTTTCTGGCTTCAGATCTGCTCAACTCTGGCTTTGTGTGGTCATTTGGGGAATGAACAACTGATGGAAGATATCTCTCTCTCTCTCTCTCTCTCTCTCATCACAAATCCTGATTGATCTGAGTATAGATCCAGTTACTAACAACCAATGTGTACAATCTGTACACAAATAATCTTCCAACATTGCATTGGTTATCTCCAGATGTTTTCTTGGTAGTCTGAAATTCTCTCTTATCTGTTTGTTGGTAATTTAAAATGTTTATGGAAAAGGGGATGAAAAGATATATGTATTTGGGAACAAAATTATTTTGAAATCCATGCATGGTTTTTTCATAATATGCATTTTCACAAACCTGTTGAATATTCCTTGTATTTTTGATTATGATTTTTTTAAATGCCTTTTTTTCTTTATCATTCATGTGTAATATTCGTGTCTTGATTTTTGCCTCTCAAATGTACCAATGTTTTATTTAAAAAAAACTTTTAAAATTATTTATTTATTTACTCATTATTTTCATTCTATTTGAAATTTGGAGAAACAGAGATATAGAGAGATCACCTATTGGCTGGTTCACTCCTTAAATACCCACAAGAATCAAGGCTGGCTAGGTCAAAGCCAGGAGCCCAGACCTCAATCCAAGTCTCCCACATGTGTGGCAAGGATTTAAATACTTGAGACACCACCTAATGCTTCCTAGGATGCTCATTCCCAGGAACTTTACTTGCAATCAGAGCCAAGACTTGAACTCAGGGTCTATGATATGGGATACAGGCATCCCAAGCGTCATCTTGATTACTGTGCCAAGATCTTCATTTCTCTGAAATCTAAAAGGTTCCTACAGTTTTAAATATTGAAAAAAAGTGCTTGGATGGACTTTCTTTTCCAGTTATAAGACTGATATCTCTACCCCAAGCAACTCTGTGGACTAAATAACAAAGATTAATCAATTTATAGCCCAGAGCTTTGCTAAGTCTTCATTCATGACTGATTTATAGCTGTAATAATACTTTTTATAGATTTATTTATTTATCTGAAAATCAGAGTTACACAGAGAGAGAAGGAGAGGCAGAGGTGAGGGAGAGAGAGAGAGAGAGCGAGGTCTACTATTTGCTGGCTCACTTCCCAATTTGCTGCAACAGCTGCAGCTGTACCAATCTGAAGCCAGGAGCTAGGAGCTTCTTTCAGGTCACTTCCGCAAGTGCAAAGGCCTAAGCATGTGGGTCATCTTCTACTGCTTTCCAAGGACATAGCAGAGAGCTGGATTGGAAGAAGAGTGGCTGGAAATCAAACTGGTGCCCCTATGGGGTGCCAGCAGGCAAGCGGCAGTCTTACCCACTACAGGACCACTGGCCCCTGCAATCATTCTTATTTGGAAAATAATATTTTGGTGAATTTTTTCATATTAACATTTTCTGAAGTAATGTGTTAAAATCAATAGTGTATCAGGACGGCAAGAAAGAGATGAATATAAGATGATAGGCCCCTTGTTAAACTCAGTAAAGAACTCATGGAAAGCAAATGCAAATATGAAAATCAGCAAGCTTTGGCAAAAGAATCTGCAGAAACTATTCTATATGGATTTTGAAAACATGACTAACAGTATAGCGATAAAACAGTACAAATATTACTTTTGATCTGATGTATTATTTAATTCTGTTTGTGAGAGTAAATTTTGAAAGAACACTAAGTAGCTGGAGTTCAGATCATGGCATTTCTGGTCTGCCCCTCCAGAAGGCATCCCTGGCAATCTGGAAGCAGCAGTTCTAGCCATGTATTTTACACTTAAAAAACAAACACGTACATAAAGAGTTAAAATAAAAACCTAACTCAGCATAAGTGCAAAGACTAAAGTTCAAAGAAAGTTACACACAAGATTAATAGGACTGAGAGTGGCATGGGATAATTTCAAATTAAGGAAGGTAAACCAGTTGTCCTTACCAAGAGAGGAAAGGATTTAAAAGGAAAGATCTCACAGTGATTCCTGGAAATGCCTTCACCAATACTGACTTTTGTGTGACCTCCATCATGGATTAAATACCATTAACTATCATCCCCATCTCTCGTCAGCAGTAGCCAGTCTGTCATTTTAACAGTTTAGGATTGCATCTGGTTTACTTGAAAGATATTCCTAATCCTTTCAATGGAATTTTTGCGAAGGAGATGGGTATTATTTTCTGGCTAAATTTTCCTTATTTGGCATTTTTTTACCTCAACTACAGAAATAACAATTTGACCAGTAGGACGAGAGCTATATGAGATTCTTAGGCTTATTAGCAATAAGTGTTGTGAAAAGCAGCTCTGGGTTGTCCTGGTGTCTATGCAGTCACAGAAGCATGGCCACAGTCCCCTTCGATTTCCTGAAATCCTGCAAAGCTGGGGAGTTTTTAGAACAAATTCCCTTGCTGATGTCTCTTGTGCATGCACAGCCTTTAAATTCTGTTCTTAATCTTACCCATTAATCTAAAAAGGTAGTTTCCAACTAATACAATTCTGCATTTCTCATCTCAAAAGTGTTCTGTACCAAAATACTCACATTCTCTCAAGTCTTTGTGACAACAGTAGGTCAAATGCTTAATAATATGGCTCACTAAGTCATCTAGACAGGAGGGACCGTGCAGAACATTCACATGTGAAAGAAGGAGGTGCAAGATGCTGACAGTAGTGTTGGGGAATGAATTCCAGCCAAGGAATGGAATCAAATTCAAGGAAGCAAGAGATACCTAATAAATTCAGGTTATGATCCCTAGAATATACTTTAGGTCAACAGAGATTTTTTTTAAAAGATTTTATTTATTTTATTTGAGAGTTAGAGTTACAGACAATGACAGGGAGAGACAAAGAGAAATGTCTTCCTTCCATTGGTTCATCCCACAAATGGCTGCAATGGCCGGAGCTGTGCCAATCCGAAGCCAAGAGCTAGGAGCCTCTTCTCAGTTTCCTACGCAGGTGTAAGAGCCCAAGGACTTGGGCCATCTTCCACTGCTTTCCCAGGCTACAGCACAGGTCTGGTCTGGAGGAGCAGCAGCCAGAGCTAGAACTGAGGCCTATATGTGATGCCAGCACAAAGGCAGAGGATTAACTTACTGTGCCATGGTGCTGGCCTTCAGGTCCTCAGAGATGAAACCTTGTGTAAGAGTTCCAACAACAAAAGCGAGATGGGCTTTTCACTACTACATGGGTTCTTGCCTAGACCAACTGTCAGAATTTCTAACTCAGTCCTATGTATTGAGGACACTAAATACAAGGGAGTGTCCAGAGAATGCACACTTGATAAATGTAAATATTTGCATAGGCAAGCAGTAAACTTTTATGGTCCAGAGATATAAATGCAAGAATCAGCATTTCTCAATATCCTGGTAAGATTATATCTAAACTGTAGGATTGATAAAGCCCAATCATGATGTAGGATACAAGGTCCCCTCCACCAATTCTGCCCTCAATTCCTCACCATAGAACAACTGCAGGCAGTATCCTTCCTCTGTGTCCTAGGAAATGGTAGGGACAGGTAACATCAGCTTTCCTGAGCAAAAGGCCACAGAGGAGACATATGTATACATCCATCACACTGAACAAAGTAAATACATGAATCTGGTGAGTTGGTGTATGAATGTGTCATTTAAATCCCCACTAAAAGGTTTTCTCTTTGAAATAATAGTAATTTAAATGATCTTCTGTAAAATTTTATTTATGTTCTACAAGTTTTCATATACATATCCAAGTTATATATGTATTTCACTTATACAGATTTAGGAACATAGTGACATTTCACAAAAATAGTAACAATTAAGAAAAAAATCAAGAAGGAGAGCAGTCAGTTTTCAGAGATTGTTTTTAAGTACATATGTGTGCCGGTGCCACAGCTCACTAGGCTAATCCTCCACCTGCGGCACCACCACTCCGGATTTCTAGTCCCAGTTAGGGTACCGGTTCTGTCCTGGTTGCTCCTCTTCCAGTCCAGCTCTCTGCTGTGGCCCGGGAAGGTAGTGGAGGATGGCCCATGTGCTTGGGCCCTGCACCTGCATGGGAGACCAGGAGGAAGCATCTGGCTCCTGGCTTCAGATCGGGGGCTATGGAGGCCATTTGAGGGGTGAACCAACGGAAGGAAGACCTTTTTCTCTGTCTCTGTCTCTCTCTCTCTCTGTCTAACTCTGCCTGTCAAAAAAAAATTAAAAATGTTTATATGCGTATTTATATGAGCATATAAATATCTAGGTTCAGTTTACTTTGCTTCATGCTCATTTGAAGTCTTTATTGCCACTAATTAAATGGA